ATCCCCAAATATGTCTTGCTATTGCCACAGAACAACACTCTGTTTTTGTTTCCTGTAAACACAAGATGTCAGGCTTCCATTTTTGAATAAGTAGCTTGATGGTGCTTCTTTTGCTTATATCATTAAGCCCCCTTATATTCCAACTGATAATTTTTGCTTTCATTCTGAGAAAGCCTTGTGGAACCTGCCCCTACTTGACCCTTCTCCATTCTCATAATTAATAGTGCACTGCAACTTCTTGGCCACAATCTCACCTTTTTCCTTTGATCTTTTCTTCTGTTGCTCTTTCCCCTTTGATTTCTGCAACTGTAACTTCCTCTTTTGTTCCATTCGCAGTATCATATCGAAGATTTCGTGCTCAAACCCCACTGAATTGACCCCAAAGGCTTTACAAGCTTTAGTCATCACTATCTTGGTCCAATGAGAGGTTTCAATAACTGTCGGGTGTGAAATAACCTGTTCCTCCAAGCTGTCACCGGACCAGGGTAGTGACAAAGTGTCGCTACTAATTGGGGAAGAGAAACCTGAATCTTGAGAACACCCAATAGAGAAGTCAGAGTGGATAGGAGGAAGAGAGAGAAGAGATAGAGGTCGCATGCATTCAGCTTCGTCGTCTGCGTCTCCCTCCCACTCATCAAGAGAATCAGTTTGCGTTAGGGAAGCCAACAATGGCTTTTGAGACAACTTAGCATTCGACTGTCGTTCCGAAAGCTTTTGTGTCTCTGCCACTATAGATTGGGCTTGGGCTGGCCTAATAGCCTTCCACTCCTTTAATATCTCCTTCTTTTTATTGAGATGCAAGTTCCCCTTTTTCCTCCTTGAATAATAAAGATGGTCTGAAGTCTTTTGCTGCAACTGGGCCTTTGCCTTAAGTTGGCCCAAAGTTGTCTTAGAATTCCCTAGGGTCCTCAGCTGATTTGAGATTTGAATCAATAGGCTGCTCATTCTGCAAAACATAAACTTGGTCTGGAGTCTTCTGCTGCAATTGGGCCTTTGCTTTAAGTTGGCCCAAGGTTGTCTTAGATTTTTTGGGCCCAACCCTAGGGGCATCAGCAGATTTCAAATTTGAATTGATAGACTGCTCAGTTTTCGAGACACAAACTTGTTTGGACCGCTGGTTAAAACCCTGTTCATCAGAATCACCGGCAACTGAGATTTTCGAGAAGGCATCGGCAATAATGGATATTTCATAAATTTTACCGCCTACTCTCAAATCAATTTTGTGTGGAGGTTCTCGTGCTACTGCTGGAATACAAATCCGAGCCCAGAGAATATGATTTCTCTTCTTTGTGTCCTCATCTGCACCGATATAACCACCACAACAGTCCCCGATAAATTTCAGAGACTTTTCCGACCATGCGTGAAGCGGGATGCCAAAAGCCCTAATCCACCTCTGATTTGCTACTAATTCTTCTTTAGAGTTATCTGTCCCTGATTCTGGAGACCACCACTCAAGTGATAATCTTCTCCCATTCCAAAACCATTCCCCCATTATTATTCTCTCCGCTTCTTGCCTAGATGGAAACTCGAACATCATCTGGTTATGTGTGAGCTGTAGGACGCGCAACCCTGCCGTCATCTTCCACCTTTTCAGGAACCACTGATGGATGACTGTTGGATTTGGACTCGAGCTGAAAGGGTCATTGAAGGTTCCAACTAAGCAACACTGCAAGTATTCCTGTAGATTCTCCAATTCAGAATGAGACTGAGAGCTCATAACTGGCCATTTCTGGATATTTGCAGCATCCATGAAAGATTTCCCTGGGGTGACAAACTTCCGGAGAGCTGGGTTAACTGGCTCACCCAAAGATCTGATAATTTTGTCAGCTAAATCACTCCACCCTACATTGTAATCCATCTCCGGGATGATAATAGCTGATTTTCTTTGGCCCCTCAATGTTTCTACTCGAAGAAATCTCCCATAAGAGTTGAAGTTCTGATATACTCTGAACAGATCCCCCTCCTTAAGCCTGCCCCATCTTCTATAAAGGTCCCCAACACCTTTGGAAGCTAATCTCATAACACTGCATACCCATCTTAAAATGACTTCGTCGATCTTAATCTTACTGACAAACCGACTACTGAACTCCTTGAACAAGAACCACCTAAAAGAACCTACACTGATATCATTTATTTCAAAAGACTTATCACTGGAAATGAAAAAGCACACCCTGTCACCCATACTAAGAGATCGTATGATTAAAATTCCACCGCAAAGTAAATAATTTTGTCCCCCATGGTAAAGAAAGGCTAATTCCGGTAGGAGTTGCCGGAAAAGGATCAAACAAAGTAAGAGAGAGAACCTAGGACAGGTTCCCCTTGGGAGCTGTGCCTGGGAGCATATTTTTTTTTCAAAATCCCTGAATTTATTTATGCGCTCAAAAAAAAAAGTATCTAAATTTTTAAATGATGCGGACTTAGCAAACCATAGAACATAACGAACACAAAGGATCTATATTGCAAATAACTAGTGGCTAGTTGTTGTTGTTGTTGATACAGTTTCATTATGTCAAGTATATGGCAAGAGTCTTTTATTCTAAAGAGAGACTTGTATGTCCCTGTGGGGAAAAGTTTGAGAATTAGGGGGTGTTTGGATTGGCTTTTTAAAGTGACTAGTAAGTTAAAAGCCAAAAGTCATAACTTGGGACCCTTCGGGGTGGCCCAGTGGTTTGGGCTTGGAACTTCCATGTTGGAGGTCTCAAGTTTGAAACCCCTTGACAGCAAAAGAAAGGGGTTTGCCTTCTGGGTCGAGCTCGTCGCACTGGGCTTGACTAGTGCGGGTTACCTCACCTATATGGTTTGCGAGCTATTGCATAAACCCCTGTGTGCACCCAAAGGGTAGCGGCTGCGGGTTTTTCTTGTCATAAAAAAAAAGTCACAAGTTGGAAACCCCCAACTTTTGGCTTTTGGCTTCTTATTTTTTTTTATACTTTTTCAGCTTTAAAAAAGTTCTTTTACCCAAACACTTCCAAAACTATAATAGTGCTTAAAAGCCAAAAAACACTAAAAATAAGTCAATCCGAACACCCACTTAGACAAACACTAGTTTTAGAGAAACTCTGATTTGCCTTAAAGACATTTATTTGGTGTTAGAATAGGAATAGGAATAAAAATAGAAATAGGAATACTAAATAGTATCCTACTTGGTAAAGAATTGTATTCTAGGGTCTATAAATAGGGTCTCAATGTAATAATGTAGACACAACAACAATTCAATAATATTTTTTTCCTATATTTCTCACATGATATCAGAGCCTCTACGATCTTGGTAGAAAATCAAAGAGCTTCCGCTGCCAGCGGGCGGCTATTAATGCCGCCCATCTGGACAACAATTATGTTAGCAAAAGTTGGGTCACCGTGTATCATTCCGGTGACTACTTTCTATATCTAATTTGTGTAGCACCGTGCCATCTTTCCGGTGACTACTTTTTCATATTTAATTTGTGTAGCACCCTGCGATCTTTTCGATGGCTACTTTTTCATATCTGGTTTGTGTAGCACTGTGCCATCATTCCAGTGACTACTTTTTCATATTTAATTTGTGTAGCACCGTGCCATCCTTCCGGTGACTACCTTTTTTTGTATATCTGATTTGCGTAGCACCGTGCATCTCTCCGGACTATTTTTCATATTTAATTTGTGTAGTACCGTGGATTTTTCCAAGCTATTTTCTCATATCTGAGTTGCATAGCATCATGTGTCTTTTCAGTGACTCCTCATATTTGATTTACATAGTTCCATTCGTCTTTCCAATGACTCCTCAAATCTGATTTGCGTAGGGTTGTGCCATCATTCCAATCCTACCCATATTATTTCTCTTTTTCAATAGGGTTGTGCCATCAATCCAACCTTTCCTATATAATTTCTATTTTCTAGTTGGGTCGTGACATCATTCTGACCCTACCCATATAATTTTATTTCTTAGATTGTGACCACTTTTAGCCATCAAATCTAATACTCCGGCATATGAGCATGTTTCGGCCAATTTTTTGGTGACTTCCTTGTTTAATATCTTCTCATCTATTGATTCAAACATGATCCATATACTTTATACTAGATTTTGAGCACTTTGTTGCTCAAGGGGAGTTTAGTAGCCTTGTATGTCGATTGTGTAAGTCACTCTATAGTCTGAAACAATCTTTGCAAGCTTGGTTTGGGAAGTTCCACACTGTAATTTTATCACTGTGTTTTATCGCCATTATGCATCAAATTCAGTATTTCATAAGAATCGGAATAGGTTTATACAATCCTATTAGAATCGGAATAGGTTTATACAATCCTATTAGAATCGGAATAGGTTTATACAATCCTATTAGAATCGGAATAGGTTTATACAATCCTATTAGAATCGGAATAGGTTTATACAATCCTATTAGAATCGGAATAGGTTTATACAATCCTATTAGAATCGGAATAGGTTTATACAATCCTATTAGAATCGGAATAGGTTTATACAATCCTATTAGAATCGGAATAGGTTTATACAATCCTATTAGAATCGGAATAGGTTTATACAATCCTATTAGAATAGGAATAGAAATAGAAATAAGAATACTAAATAGTATCCTACTTGGTAAAGGATTCTATTCTAGGGTCTATAAATAGGGTCTCAATGTAATAATGTAGACACAACAACAATTCAATAATATTTTTTTCCTATATTTCTCACATTTGGTATGGAGTGAAATGAACCTTTTTTAATAAATATTGGTGAGATGGACCTAAATAGAGTAGAATGTATACAAGAGGATTCAGATACCAGAACACAACTAATTTGGGATTGAGGAGTAGTTGATTGCTATTGATTGATTGATATACATGATGCTAAGTTCTTAATACTCTCCTGGGGAAAAGTAGTAGTAGGGAACATTATCCACTGAGTATTGAACCATGCCTCACTGGCTAGTGAGTATTTCCAGTTATAAAAGAAACTCTCTCTGGAAAATTTTTATTAGGAGTTCATACTTCATGAAACTTGGTGAAAAGGAGAATATTTCTACCTGTAATCAAAGGAAGGAAAAAATTGATGCAATGTGTTCACTATCAACTCCACCGTTGCATAATCTGCTGCAGCAGTATCTGTCATATGTGTGTGCTGAACCTGCAATTAGCAAAATAAGAGACCTATAAGTTTTGGAAAATTCTCCATTACTAATTTATAACAATATCAACATTTAGGACCTTGACAGCAACTTTTTGCCCATCATGCATTCGAGCAACATGGACTTGAGCAAGAGAAGCACTTGCTATTGGTACAGGATCAAATTCATCAAAGATCTGTAGACAAAGGTTTTAATTCAGTTGAGTGCACAACAAAGAAACCAAGACCAAGAATATATAAGCCATATATTCATCAAATTGACTCTATATTAAACCAAAACATTGCTTTTGAGGAGAATCCAATAAATTAAAACATACTTCATCAGGTGCACCTCCAAGCTCTTTCTTGATAACTTCATGCACTTGATCATAAGAAGAATGAGGACATTTATTTAACATTGATTCCCTCATTATACGAACATACTCTTCAGGTACTAAGTACTCCTGAGCAAAACCAAAGGTCAAGTTGGATAAGCCCAGAAGTATTGGGCAATTACTTGTAGAAGCAAGAGCCTTCTTGTGCCTTTGAACAATATAAATATGACACAATTATCTATACAATAACCTAAGGAGAGAAGTTGCAAACCAGCTGTCCTAAATGTTGACCAAGCTTAATGTAAATTCCACCATTTCTGAAACAAAGTTCTTCTAGCCTGCGTGCACCCCTCATGTGAACTTCATGTTTGGCTTTTGCTCTCTCTGCACTACCTTCTGGCAGTCCCCAGAGTGAATATTCATAATCTAACAAGAAGTCACAATTAGATCATCTTAGTATATTAAAAAGAACTTCTCCTTTAAAAAATTCCTATATTATCACATAAAGGGGCAGTATTAGGAACCCAGAAACTTCCCCAACATTAATCAGTAAATGGCACAACGCAGATATAAGAACAACACTTCAACTATTCTTTACTACGACCATCAAGAATCATACGTTTTAAGTGAGCATTGTGAATTTGGCCATATTAGCTTGATTCAATAGGTGACCATTTTGAATTGAATAGATAGACCCTCGGCTTAAACTAAAGCATTTCCAAGCAGTTTGAAAAGGAATGAAAAAATGAGAGCAGTAACAACAACAAAATAATGTGAAATGGAGAGCAGTACACAACATACGACAAAAAGAACAATAATGACAACAAATTAATGTGATAATGTTGTGGATACGAGGAAGTCAATTAATTAAGTATTTGACTATATTTTTCAAGTAGATTTATTTATTATTTATTTATAATTTAAGTAGCTTTATTTATTATTCTAGAATAGGGGATTAGGTTAAGTTATAGTTAGTAGATTGAAATAGGATTTAGGTCTCCTACTTTCATAAGAATTAGACTTCCTATTGATGTAATAAGACTCCTATTTAAAGGGGTTTTGACGAATAAACCGGTAAGTCATTTTTCAGCAAAAAGCAAGAGATTAGAGTTCTCTCTTCCATTGAACTCTAAGGTTTCAGTCTCCCTTTGAAGAGCTGAAGAGATCTGAGTTCTCTCTTTTAATGAACTCTAAGGTTTCAGCCTCCCTTTAACGAGCTTATTTATATATCTCCCTACGAATCGATCCTTCCCTAAAGATTCATAACAGATAACCAAAGCACAAAAAACACAAGTAATAACTTAAATCTAAGAACAAGAAACAACGAAAATGGTGCTAATACCACGAGGAAGAAATAAGGTCCAAGTAAAACCATCAAGCATATCCTGCAGAAAGCCAGAGAATCCTCAACCACCAATTAACCCTCTACCCTAATCCACGGCCTCCAAACCCTCCTAAGGTCATGTCCTCAATAAGCTCAAGATGTGTCATTTTTTGTCGAATCACCTCCCCAATACTTCTTTTTCCTGCTTCTACCTCTCCTGATACCCGTCATTGCCAATCTCTCTTACACACTTCTCCTTTTCACATGTCCAAATCATCCCAGTCTCACTTCCCTAATATTGTCCACCATGGAGGTCGCTCCTACCTTGCCCCAGATATCTTCATATTATACCCACATATCCACTTCAACATCCTCATCTCCAAAACATTCATCTTCTGAACATGTGAGTTATTGAGGCCAATACTTTGTCACAAACGACATAGTCAGTCTAATCACAATCCCGTAGAACTTACCTTTAAGTTTTGGCAATACCTTCTATTACACAAGACTTTGGAGGCTAGCCTTCATTTCACCCATTTTGCATCAATACAATGTGTGACATCATTGTCGATCTCCCAATTACCTTGAAATAAGTACCCCAAATACTTGAAACATCCTCTTGAGGATGACTTAAGCATCAAGCCTCACTTCCACGCTGACCTCATATGTAGCATCATTGAACTTACACTCTAAGTATTCAGTCTTGGTCCTGCTCAGTCTAAACCTTTTAGACTCCAGAGTTGTCTCCAAACCTCCTGCCTAACTTAACTTCGCTGCAAGTCTAGTCAATCAATAACATGTTAACTGCGAATAACATACACCATGGCACCTCACTTGAATTTGTCAAATCAATTCATCCATAACTAGTGTAAAAAGAAACAAACTAAGAGTCTATCTCTGATGCAACCCAATCATGACTCAAAAGTGCTTTGAGTCCCCCCCCACTATCCTCACCCTAGTCTTGGCTTCATCCTACAGTGGTGTAGCCACAAATTTCACGAATGGTGTTCAAGTGTTAGAGGTAAAAGAAAATTGCACATAAGTGCACCAAATTTTAAAATTTAACCATGCATTATTAGTAATTGACTTTTTTAATGAATGGGTGCATCAAAAAATTTAAAATCAAAATGCATAATGCTTAGCACTGATGAGTTCATATTTAATTTAATATGAAGTGAACGAACAACGCAAAAAAAAGAGGCAAAGAAGAAACTTAAGCCTAGAAAGAAACCATTTTTTTATGAAGAAAGAAACCATCTTTAAACTTTAACCTTTCTACAGCCTCTAGCGACGACAACAATAACAATGAGACATGGAGAACGGAGATCAGAATTAGACAAGATCTTTTTTAGAGAAAAGATTCCTTATGGAACATTTTTGCTTTTGATTTTGGCACAATTGTAGAATTATTTTTTAATTTTATTAAAAAAAATTAATGTAAAATAAAATAAAGTCAAAGATACACTGGGTGAGTATCCAATTGGTTATTGATACTTTTATTCTTTTTAAAGATTTTAATGAGAAAAACAGATCTCTTAGACACACTAATTGAATAAAAGAAAAATATTGTTTAAGGTCTCTTACGTGTTAAAATGAAAATTTCTTATTAAAAGACCATAAAACTAATTAAGGATTATCAATAAATAACATATGTAGAAGTTAACAGGCTAGTGGGAATCGATCCTGGGACGTGTGCTCAACAGCGCTTGGGATCTTCTTGAACAACTTTGACCACTGAGCTACCTCATCAACTCGTTTTCAGGGTGTTCAAAGTACAAAATACTCCATATCAAGTAACATTTTACCAATATACACAATATAATTTTCTGGTGAAGGGTGTTCTCCTGACCACCCTTGATACATTGTTACTCCACCCCTACCATCCTATATGAAGTCTTGTATCACACTATCATCTTTTCATAATTTTTAGTGCTTAAATATTTAAATTAATACAAATTAAAAAAATCTCACTAAGGCCCCCATCCCATAAATTTAGTGGGATGGAATGAGACTAGTATTCTGACCCCCTATCCCGTTAAGTCCATCCCCTTCCCTTTTCGTCCCACTTACATCGTCATGTTGGTCAACCTTAATGGATATCTTTAGGAAGAGTATATTTGCAACTTTTTCTACTGAGAAATTTGAGCTGAGGGTCTCTCGGAAACAGCCTCTCTACCTCCACGAGGTAGTGGCAAGGTCTGCGTACAATTTACCCTCCCCAGACCCCACCTAGTGGGATCTCACTGGGCATGTTGTTGTTGCAAGTCAACTATGGAACACATTAGCTCCATAATTTGTTGAATTTCTGTGAAGCTGGGATTTAAGAACTTGTGAAGGATTGTCATTTCTTCCGTCAGTCCCGTTATATTTATAAGGTTGTAATAGGGAGTGTGCTCATATGGTGTGTCTTTCATTTGGTTAATGGTGTTTCTCACAGGTGTGGATGCAAACCCTTTCAGATATACACGGAACCAGGATGTTAGATCACTTGAACTCAAGATTGAGTATTGTGCTACCATAAGAGGAATCAAGAATATAAGAAAGTAATGAGATTGCACCTTTAAGGTTCCCTTTTCATGCTAAAGGTTATTAAAGGGGTGAAATATTATATACTAAAACATTCACGATAAGTTTCAAAAAGGAAAACACAAAAAGTTAGCTCAAGTAGTTAAGTGGAGAGATATAAATTTGAACTATCATTTGATCATTCTTGTAAGCAGAGACTATTTGATTGGCGATGTAGTGTGTCACTGAAGCTCAATGCTTAATCTAGCATTCTTCTTCTCGTCGCAGATAAAACATAATTTGGCATCTAAATCTGTTTACACGTAGTATTTTGGACTCTGATACATTATTTGCAGTTTTACTAGGGTTTTCTATTCAACTGCCTTCATGAAAATTACAATGACATAGCTTGATTCTAACCATCATCATTAACCATTTTATGCACACATACACTTGGTATACAGAGGTGGGATTTACTGAATTAACATTGTACTTCTGATATTAAACTCTTTCCCGTTTACCCTTGGCAACCAAGTTATTATTTCCCTAAGTGGGGAGGAAATTAGCTCACAATGAAAATGTCTTTCCATGGTAGTTGAAGCATATAATATAAAGTAGATATTGTTTGATATTAACTGAATCCTCTTCTGAGATAAATATTTGGATCAAGTTTGAATGTGTCTATATGAAGTGCACATTTCATTCATGATATGAGTTGAGTTTGGAACCAATGAGATGACTACCCAACTATCTTAGGTAGAAGATTCATTGAGTCAATTTATACTCTTCTTCTTGTCGGTCGATAGTGTTTCGCTTATAAGGAGCAGGTGACATAATTTGTCTTTTAAGGAAAACTTTGTGGAACAAGGTGCAACTAAACTTCCATTAAATGATAACAATGGCATATGTACATCATAAAATATACATATATGCTCTGCACTTTAGTGAGGAAGTATTGAGTGGGATGATGGATAGAGCCTTGATGGGAAAATAATTAAGGGGTTTCAATGTAGAAGTTGGCGGACACGACAACATTTCAGTTTTTCATCTTTTTTTTGCAGTGGATAATATTGTCGCACTTGCTTAGGTTTTGAATTCTAGGTAGGAGCTGTCCCAACTACCTATCTTAGCCAACCGGTAGGTGCTTTGATCAAGTGTTGGGATTTCAGCCCTTCAAAGGGTTGAGAAGAGGCATGTAGGATGGCAGAAAAGATATCAAAGGTGGGAAAAAAGTGCTTTTTAATAGCACTTTATCGAGAATTCCCCCATATTTCATGTCCTTGTTTCATGCTCTAACTAGTGTCACAATAAATTTGGAAAAGCTTCAAAAAGAACATTTTATGGGATTCATCAGATGGGGCAAGGAAGTTCCACTTAGTTCAGTGGGAGACTGAGACATCTCTGAAGTGTTTGGAGGGCTTGAAGTTAACAATCTAAGGGGTTGTTTGGTTGGGAACAAGTTATCCCAGGATTAATTATCTTCGGATTAACTATCTTGGGATAACGTATCCCATCATGTATATGGGATAACTTATCTCATCACTATGGTATAAATGGTGGGATAAGTTATCCCAAACATGGCAATCAAACAAGACACCCAAATTTTATCCCGGGACTAATTTTTTATCCCTCACACCAAACGACCCCTAAGGGTTTCAACAAAGCATTGTTAGAAAAATGATTATGGAGATTCCTAGCAGAGGAACAAGTATTCTAAAGAATGGTGAATGGTGATTGTAGATAAATGTAGGGTCATAAAAAGGGGATGGACAACTAAGGATGTCAACATGCCTTATTGTTGTGGGTTATGGAGGAACATTATGAAGGTATGATAGAAGTTAGAGGCAATGTAAGAAATGAGAGGAGACATAGCTTTTGGGGACATAGGTAGTGCAGGGCAACATGCTGAAAATAATTTCCCGAGCACTTACATAGGATCTTGCCAAAAGGAGTTTGCAATCCAACAAATCTGAAGGATACGAGGTGGAGCAGTTTTTTGGGACCTAAGATTTAAGAGGAATTTCCATGACTGGAAGGTGTTTGAGCTCCAAAGTTGTTTGCTTTGCTCCACAATTAATACATATCGCCAGAGCCTTGATGGGTGGAGGTGGCGGCGGAGGTGGAGGTTGGTGAATAACATAGTTTTTTGTTAAGTCTTTCTATCAAAAGCTTTTGACTAAGGAGGAGGATGCTTTTCCATATATCTTAGTTCCAATCCCGAAGATTCTGAAGACGGTATGTTCTTCACTTCGTTAGCAGCTAGAGCAGCGTTCTGGATGACTGAGAATCTTAGGAAGATAAAGGTCATTAGTGTAAGTTAGTGCATGCTTTAATGCACAAGTTGGAGTGAAGATGTGGATCATCTACTTTTGCATTGTCATCTTGCCTCGAGATGGTGAGAAATTTTTAGTTGGTTTGGTACCTCATGGGCGATGCCAAGAGCGCTTATGTTTAGATGGGGGATTGTGGGAGGAGGAAAAGGTGAAAGGCATGGTTTGCTCCTTTAGCACTAATGTGAGTTAATTGGAGAGAAGAAATAAAAGAACTTTTGAATAGGTAGAGTTGACATTTGTTCAGTTGAGGAGTAGCCTCCTCTATCTTATTTTCTTTTGGTGAAACCATGAAATTCCTTGTTGTGTAGAAGATTGGTTGTCTTTCGTAGAGGACCGTTTCTTATAGGTTTTCTACTTTTTTGGTTTACTTGTATGCGAGCGCTTCCGTTTAGGCCCAACAATTAATGTAAATTTTACTTGATAAAAAGTTGACAAAATAGGTAGTAATAATAACATCAGAAGTGGTGGTAGTTGTTTCATCAAAGGTTTCAGACAGAGACCTGCTAAGTAGATGTGTGGTTGGGGGGTTTTCCAATCATGAAACAGAAATTCCCACTAGCTCGGGTGTCAGGAGGTGGTCAGCAGTAAATGAGTCATATAAGAGGGATTCGAGTTTATGAAATTTATAGTTCTCAACATTTTTCAAGTTTCCAACAAGGAAATGACTGAACACACTATGTTAGGGGTGTCGAAGGAACACACTATATAGTTCTCATATGTTTCGAGGCTATATAGAGAGAAAAATTAGTGTCCATGACTAGGCCGATTTCGCAAGGGACAAAGCACTATAGACCCACAAAAATAATTAGCTCAACAAGATCGTACCAAAATTGGATAAAAGTAAAACTAAGAGTCACATGTTCTTAAATATTACATCAACTGATCAAGCACCATTCATAAACTTGCATGTCTAAACAGGGCTTCGAATTTTCAAAAGACCACATGTCTAAACTAAGTTACAATTCTTGCTTCTCAAATGTTTCGAGGCTATATGTAGAGAAAAATATAAAGATCCAGCATCGATTAATATAAATTAAGTTGTACTTTTCTAGCCACGGCTACAAGCTTCAAAGGAAGGGGAAAAACACAAAAAAGGAGAGATTCTCAGGATTGAATCAAAAGCCTACCGAACGCAATGGTGGCAGCAGTGACGGAATCGCGATAGAGGCGGAGAGGGACATTTGTGCAAAGCTTAAGGGCCATGGCTGGGTCGTCGGAGCTGGCAATTGTGGCCACCGCTGCTCCACCACCAAGGGCGGTGGT